AAGGCACCGAAGGACAATCGGCAATCACGTCCGGCTTCTAAATTCAACCTTGGCGTGATGTTCAGGAACAATTGAAAACCCTCAGCAACCACCTGATTTCGCCGTCCAATGTAAGACCCCACTTTATCGAAAGTCACAGAAACGCGATTCCCTTTGTAGCGAACCCGGCCAGAGAGGACGCACCTACGAGCAAGTCATACAGTAGGATTGTGGCCGCAAAGTGCAGTATAATTCCTGGAGCATGTCCTCCACATAAGAATTGCTCTCCAATAATCCCCTATGAAACGGTCGTAGAGGCCGACTTCGTAATCGCCAAGAACTACTGAGCCTTAATTTGTCCTCGTGAAATACTCTTAGATCACATACCCACATTTGCTTGACCCAAAGACCACCAATGGAGATTTGCTATGCCCTTGCTGAGCACTTTGACATTCCCATGCCCGCGTCCACGGAAATGCATAAGTGCTCCGTTACGACCCTTCCTCTTTCCTTTTGACGGTCATCATAAAATCAGAAGCACAGTTTGGGCGAAATGGTCATCATCTTATACTTCAGTCTATGATCCAGCAATATTTATAAACACAGCACCCGCTATGACGTAAGTGCGGAGTATGAAGGCAGCCACAGTGACGGCGCCACTGCGGCTGCCTTCATACTCCGCGATGTCAATTTGGAAAAACAACGCTGTCGATCGATATATCGCGAACTCGATGAAGCTAACATGCTGGGATCAACACTGTTAAGGCATCCAATCATGTTTATTCATAGATGACCTTCTTAATCCGTTTTAGTAGTTTTGGAAATGTGGAAATCCAGATGAAATTTTTAATAAAAAGCACTTTGAAGTGTGAGGGCTTGGAAAGGTGCAGGGTGTAAATTAGAAGTGTGTACTGGAAGCGAGTTACCCACATAGGAACAACCCCAAAGATGTAATCATTGCAAATACAATACAGCCGAATAAGCATGCTGTTGGGCCTAAAGGGCGTAAAAACTTACACCATCTAATGACCTATAGTAATTTTGATCGACGCCTATGCTTTTCACTATAGCGCTTGTACGAAGTACGAAGGCGGTCTTTGACACATCGATCGCCATTACCCGGGGGATTGTTTTTGAAAATCCCTTCTAACAAATCTCAATAATTTGTCAACAACCGCGACGATCGAGAAGTTTTAAGCTGCGAAGAAACCGACTTGGTCTCCCTGTTGTATCTGTCAACTTCTACCTATTGAGGGGAAGCTAAAACTGACTGATTGACAGTCGATATCTTGCTGATCAGAAATTCGATCTGCAAGAGTTACGTCAATATGGGCGGCGTCCCAGAGAGGGGCTCATTTCCTCCCTTCCACTGCGAGGAGCTGTCGTGTCCCGTTGCTGACAGCGTACTGTCTCAAAGCGTCCTTTAATAGTTCGTGGAACTTCGTAGTTTCCTTCGAGGCCGCCCATTCACTAGCATTACTGTCGGGGTAAGGTTGAGTTTGTAGGTAATATATTTTTAATGGGAATTAGTTCAGAAGTTCATGGGAAAGTGGAGAATTTACCAGATTACTCTTCGTTGTCGTTTAGTAAACTCCCCAACACTTCTTTTGGACTCCACTTTTTTCCTATCTCTGGTCGACCTTTGTGCCATGACACTTGCATCACTTTTTCATCGCCTTCCGGTAATCTGATTACGAGTATTTACCTGTGTGACACATGGGAACGATTGTTCCCTGATTTCATTTTCTCTGACGACCCAGCTGAATTTGCAGCTTTTTGATCGCAAGTGTCAGCATCGTGATTGACATGCGACAGAATTGAGTCAAATCAATGAGTTCGGTTTTTCTGGCCGGTAACTATCCAGTTTTAATGACAGAAGAAAAGAAGCATCTTGCCAATGTTTATTTCCAACATAATGAACTCCCGATTAAGCATTGACACTTGGGTACGACTTGCTTTTGCCTGAACACCTTTTCCTGAAGATCAGTTCCCTTAATGCAAAAACAAAGGTCCTAAAAGATTTTTTTTGCCTCTCTGAACTTTATTTCAACTTGAATTGGATCTGGGTCTTACGCATTTCTGGTAAGAAGAGGCAAACGAGAGTACAACTCCCGCCTGCTGTCTCTTCCGCTTCCGATCCCCTCGCATCTAGTGATGCATCTTAGCTTAATCACAAATTAAGCAATCGTTGCCATAGTCGATAAGCGAAGTAGCGAAACAGGACACTTGTGGCTCGATTATGTCAGTCTGAACACGTGACGAACACGCATCGATCACCGCACGCGTGGTTCGTGCGTCGCGGCTACGGCGATGTGGAGTTGGCAATCAGGAGTTGATACTTGCTCATCGTGGACCATGAACACACTATCTTATTTCCCCAGGAGCATTCCATATTTCAAATAAACCAGTTTCCAAAGCTCTCAATTATCATTAATCAGAGGCCTAGTTCTGGTTGCATTTTGTCTTTTGTCATTTAGTTCTGTGCAATAACTCATTCTTATTCTTCATGCTCCTCTGCAATAAGACGAGCTGGAAATGGCAATCTCCTTTGAATAGGTGTTGCAATGGCCCGCTATATCGCTCAACTGATAACAGCGAAGGTTCACACTGGAATGATTTCCTACTGTGTTGCGCTAGCATGCTGTGCTACAGTACCCTAG